ACTAGGACAAATGCAAGTAAAAAAGCTTTAATAAAAAATGGAAGAAAAAAAAACTCCCCTTCCTTCCTCCCGTGTGTTGTATTGGCTCCAGGGGAGAAGCTGAAAGAAAAGGGTGGCTTTCCTCCAGCCCATGTTTTGGGTTATAAGGTAAAATAGTGACTGTTAAAAACACATTTACCTCCATCCCTCTACCCCGCCTCTCCGGTTCTCTCCCTGTGTTCCCTCTACTTCAACTTCGTCCTCCGTGATATGCACCGTGGGGTCAACGCTGAGCCCGTGAGAGGAGAGATGATAGTTATCTCCAACATTCCAGGGATGACACAGAGATATCTGCCTGATGGCAGGTTTGGGGAGCTTAGAGAGGGAGCAGGGGAGGGAGGAAGAGCGGTACTGTACAGGAGTTGTTGAACACACACCTCCCTCCTTCTGTCCCTGCCTTTTTCTTGCTGCTTGACTGCATCGCTTCCCCACACACAGAAAGAAAAAAAAATCTAATTAAAGGCTCTTATTCCACTTCATTTAAGGGAACACTTAATGATGTGTTTTTGGAGGGAGACAACTATGCATTACTTCTCATGCAAAAGTTGCAAGCCTTCAGGATTCAGATACAGCTGCATTTCAGACAGGATGGTTGTCCCTCGTTTTCAGGGATGAGCACGGTTGTGTTTTCTCACTCGCTCACTTCGGCCAGTGTCCCGGTGGTGACGGAGGTGGGGGGTGGGGGGGTGGGGTAGACAGGAGGCGGGTAGTGACATCTGAGTTTGGCAGGGAGACTCGCTGAAGGAGAGAGTTTGTTGTAATTGCTCTGACAGGTTTTAAGGCTGTTAATGACTCCGGCCTGAGCGCCACCAATTTGTCAGCATGCTTGCTGTTTACTAAGCTGTTGTTTTATGGTCCAGCGCAAGGGGGCTGCTGCTTGTTTAAGCACAGATCAGGAAATAATCAGCGTAAAACGCTGGCTGCAGAGGTGCAGCCACACTAAAAACCGCTCTTGTTTAGAGCTCTCATCTACTGTATGGATCTGAATGAGCGCCGTGCGCCATATGGTCCGTTCACATGGAGACAAAAGCACACTGATGGCTTACTCAAAAGTTTAAAAAAAAAATCAGATGGTCCAGTAAGTGTTTTATCATTAAAGGGATTACTTCTTGGCACTTGTCTGTATTACACGAGCACCAAGAATATTGCTAGCATGTGGTTATAGCAAGAAGGCCAGTAATCCCCAGCCGGCACAGAGCAACAGAGGGCTAGCTGTTCCTCTGGTGTGAATAGAGCCTCTTCGCGTTTGTGCGTGTGTGTATGTGGGAGAGACTGTGTATGTGTCAAAAGCATGTGGTCCTAGTGTCGGCAAAGACCCCATCCGTAAATCCAGAGTAAATAAAAGGGGTAACCAGATGGACAAAAGAGGAGCCCCCACTGCTTCTCTCATTCGCTGCCATTTGGGGGGGCACTGAATGTGCTAAACGCCGCTTATGTTGGCTGAAAAGTTGAGGAAAAAAGAAAGGAAAGGGAGGTTCTAAATCCCCACCCCCCACCCCCCCACCCCACCGTCCTTTCTCCTCATTCTCTGTGGCCAAGCCTGCGAGGATAAAGGTGTAATAAGAGGGAGAGGTGGAGGGAGCGGTCAGAATGCCGTGCCGAGGTGGAGACTCCCAAAGACGCTCCCCGCAACAACAACCCTCTTAGCCTCTGCTCTCTCGTTATTTCTCTCCTAATCGAACTCCCCTCATGAGTTTTCGCCTCTTCTTATTTGGGCGAGCTTGGTTGAGCATGCCTGACTAGTTTGGGCTGACAGGGGGGGGCGTGGGGGGTCTGTTGTAATTAGTCACTTTAACCGCAGCTTTCATAAGCCACTGCTTCTACACTCGTGCTTCATTACCCTGAAACAAACGCGCGGGGCCTCCTGATGCAAAATCACTGCACAGCTCTAAGAATACACGCACCAAACCGTAAGCCAGTCCGGAAGATTTCAGACGATTGTTTTCATGGTAAAAATACACTAAATGAGTTCAGTATTTATCGCTTGTGGTCACATCTGTGATATTTCCACAGCTGACATGAGCACTGTGGCTTCGCAGCAGGAGGGTACCTCCAGCATCTCTAACATTCCCCCTGAAGCCCTCTGTACTCCGAGCAGAAACTGTGTGACACTTTGTTCTCCACACTTTTTTCTTTTCTTTTTTTTTGCAAAACTCTCGAAGCGACCTGGAGTGTGCCAACATTAGATAAGCAGAGTTGCAACGTGTTTACAGTCCTTTCTTAGCCCGATAATGAGCTCAGCCCTGAGACCAATTTACTCACACGGAGATATATCTGAATGCATTTTTAATAACCACCCACTGGTGGAGAGAGAGGGGATGTGTGTGAGCGTAATGTGCTTTTGGACCTGTTTGTTTGCAAGTGTGCTCATTCACTCTCTCCTACCCTCATTGCGTCCGGCCATTGCCTTCTTGCCTGATTACACTTTCTCTCATCGTCTCCTCTGCTTATGAAAATATGCAGCCAAACTTTCGTCACAAGCACTTTAAGTTGAGATCTTGATGGAGTGAGGGAGCAGGAGGGAGGGAGGAAGGAGGAAAAGGTTTAGGGAAGAAAGAAAGCGAGGGTAGTCGGTGGGTGGGGGTGCGCTGCTGTCTTTTTTTCCGTCTCCAAGGGCGCTGCTTTTCCAAAAGTGCCTGGGGCTACACTCCAGCACCTCGGCTCCCCTAGGCCTTTCCACTGCGTCCTAATAGCCAACCCCCATCTGTGTCACATGGCCAGATGATGGGACGCTTCCCTCTGCTCTGCCCTGCACTTTTTTTCCCCCCATACCCAATTTTTTTTCCAGAGTGCACATCCACACAGGTTAGAATGGCAGAGTTGCCAGGGAACAGTCAGAAGCCATTAGCGTTTGGGACAATTTGCCCTGCAGCGTTCCTTCTCTGGCTCATAAGAAAGGAGTGGGGGTGGATGCAAAGCACCAGCTCTCCTTCAAATGTAATGAGGTTGAGCAAGTTGGATCTTCTTTATTCTATTTCTACTCCTTCTTTAATGCTCCCCTTTCTTCTTTCTTTGTTTCTCTCTTTTTTATTTTATGTCCACACTTGGTTTTTCTTCATCTTCTTTGTGAGGAGAGAAGAAAAAATAAGCCAGCTTATAAACCTGAGTGCAGAAGTAACTACTTGAACTCTGCAGGTCTGATCTATGGACACACGCCAGTATTCATGTGCATGTGAGATAGAGAGGAGCTGAAAAGCAGCGGGGTCTGGTTTCATCCTTGCGGGCTAGGGCAGGAGGCAGCGAGCATGCTGGGTAATGAAGTGACAGGTCAGTCTGTAAATACGCACGGGTCGCATTGGCCCTGGCCAGGGGGAAGGCTATCGCATTGCAGTGAAAATGGAAACGTCAATAAAATTAATCTGCCAACCTTTTGGCCACGGCGTGGTTCTACTGGATGAGCCTGACTGCTCACAGCGGGAGAGGGATTTGGAAAACAGCTCAAAAATCAACACAAAACCTAGCAGCATACAAACAAACACCAAACTGTGCGTAAACATTATTCAGCAAAGCTCAAAAGCAGAGAAACAAAGGCCGGGTGGTTAAAATTCACAGCTCACTAGTTGTGTTTTTGTTGAAGTTTCGAGACAAACTGGGGGAGTTAGACTCGGCTTCCGTCTGGGTCGCATTTCTCAGGAAGCCCCTTGCAGTCAGGGTAGGGACCAAAGTTTATTGTTTTAGGCTTTCCTGAACAAGGATTCGTACTTAGCCTGGGATTTATGGCATTTGCTGCTAATGAATGCCCATTCTACAATTACAACACCCCTCGTCTGTGTCCTCGTTCCCATATGTCCTTCAGCAGGGGCCGTTGCTTCTTTAACTTCACATGGGGAGTGCAAAGTCGGCACTTCTTTGTTTTCCTCTTTCGTGTGGCTTTGCACTAATGATGTGGAAGGAAAACACTGCAGCAGACAGAAAAGAACGACAGAGAAGGAAAAGAAAGGTAAAACAAAGATGGAAAAACACAAAAAGGAAAGAAGAAAAAGTTGTTAGAAGTGCGGGTCCCTGTTGTATTCTTCATTTATTTTGCATTTGATTACGCCACCAGTCGGATCCTTTTTCTTTCCCCCTTTTTTAATGTTATTAGTTAAAATATTTATGTGAGATTAGGGCTTGCAAAGGTGGCTGTGATTGATGCCTCCACAAAAACAGGAGGACATGTGCGTCTGAATTTTGAGAATGTCAGGGTCCTTCGTTTCTTTCGTGGAGGAGTTTTTCAGATACATAATTTAGATGCCCTCAAGGAAGGCTTTCAAGGCATTCGAGCCCAGGGGCAAGAAAAAATAACCATGACTGTTAAAAGTAAATCATTTTTGCTAATGCACAATTAATGCAGGGAAGAGGAACAAGAAAAAAAAAGGGCGAGGGACAAAGATGGAAACTTTAGTTTGAAGAAGGAATTGTGCCGTCGCATGTTCGTGTTTTCAATATGAAATCAAAAGCTGACGGACATTAATGCAAAGTCGCCGCTGGCCTGTCATGCTAATCTTATGCCAAGATGGGAGGGGGTGGGTGTTTGAGATAGGGTGGGGAGGGACACACGACGAGTCCATTATGTGCATCAAATTGCAACAATGAGCCATCCAGGAATCACGTATCAATGCAGCTCAAGTGGATGTTGTAAATTCATGAATCCGTGTGTAACTGTACATATCTGCATTTTTCCATTCTGTCCCCTTTGGCTCTCTTCAAAGGATGAGAACAAATGCTCCATGTTACATCAAGCATGCAAATTTAATTGAATTAATGACATGAGTCCTTGTCGCTGCTGTATTTGAAGGCTCCTTGTCCATTATTTTCTTTCCTTCTCCTCCTGCTGTAGAAACAGAATTAGAGGCACATTGTTTCAGTTCCGAACCGTAACATCAGAGTTATTAACCCCTTTTCTCCGGTCTTGCGCTCTGGGGTGTATAGAGCAGCTCTGCTGGGCCATTTTTTTTGTAAACCCCTCTATCTCTGTGCAGGCCTTCGTCTAAGGCTACTTAAACCCCCCTCTGCCTCCTTGTCTTCACTGCACAAGGCCAGCTTTGCTGCACCAAATCTTTTGGCCTTAGTGAACGCCAACATCAATATCTGTGGTATTTGTCCATTTATCCATCTTTCATAAACCTTAAACTCAGCTTTGACTGACAGTTTGTCTGTTTAAGGCCTCGAGCACTTCTACTTCTTTGCGGTGCGGTCTGTGATGTTATTTAATGCTGGCTTTGGTTTCTGTCCAGGAGATGGCTTAGACAACAGCGTTGCGTCGCCCGGCACGGGGGACGACGACGACCCAGACAAGGATAAGAAGAGGCAGAAAAAGCGCGGCATTTTCCCGAAGGTGGCCACGAACATCATGAGGGCGTGGCTTTTCCAGCATCTCACGGTAAGCCGAAGCTGAGCATAGTCTTAAAAAATGCACACAGGAAATATCTATGCACATGCTGCACGGAAATAACACGAAAGAGCAAACACCATCCATCCATCCATTTTCTGAACCCGCTTTGTCCATGCAGGACAACGGGCAATCAGGTACACCCTGGACAGCGAGCCAGCCTATCGCAGGGCAACACAGAGACACACAGGACAAACAATCATGCACACACACCTAAGGACAATTTAGACAGACCAGTCAACCTAACAGTCATGTTTCTGGACTGTGGGAGGAAGCCGGAGTACCCGGAGAGAACCCACGCATGCACAGGGAGAACACGCAAACTCCATGCAGAAAGATCCCAGGCTGGGAAGCGAACCCAGGACCTTCTTGCTGCAAGGCAGCAGCTCTAACCGCTGCGCCACTGCGCAGCCACAGAGCAAACACGCTGTGGGAAAAAGTGAAAGGGTGCTGTCAGCAGGGCAAAGTGACCAGGTCAATCTAATCAGTCTAGACTGTTTACTCTGCTCAGCACAAGAAGAAAGTTCCTCAGCAGATAAAGAGAAGAATCAAATATGTGTTTAACTACTGGGGGTACTGATTTAGTATTTCAAACCTCACTTTCTGAATCTGATTCTTCTTACAGATCATTCACATAAACATGGTTTCATTACTGACATTATTAAGTAAAACCTTCCTGTCTGTACGAGAGGGTGGTCCACATGTCCCCCCTCACCCTCGCTAATGTCAGGACATTATCAGAACATCAGGCTGTATTGATTTTGCTACATGGGTCAGATTTCAGAAGGCAGCAGTGACGCTGGGACACAAAAGCTGCCCAAGCTTGTGACTCTTGCTCCCAGAGATGGCGGGACAACAGCGAGGGGGATGGGCAAAGTAGAAGAAAGTAGAGACTTGGTATAGACCTGAAGGTTTTATAGAATGTCCTCACATTTTAGAGTTACCCCCCGTGCACCACATAGCCCCCTCCCATCGACGCCACCACCAAAGTGCCCACTCCCAGCTCAAAGCCCCCTCTACCCTGATTACCTAACCAAAAGCCCAAGTAATAAGCAGCCAGCAAATACAGCCTAATTGAAAGGGCTGTAAATCCATTACATATTGGTCAGGGATAATCAGGAGTGCTTTAATCACTTTTATCTATTCAGGAGCAGTGAAGCTGCAACAGCAAAGCCCTGAGCCTCGCAGGCCTTAGCGGCTCCACCACGCCAGTCTGCACACTTATTATTCTCATCATTATCAAAATGACTTCACAGCTGTTCACAGCTCCGTCGCTCCCCGACTGGAGCGCTCTTAACAGACCCAGCTTCATTCAGACGCTCCGTTTGGAGAGAGGCTAAACTTTTTATTCCTATTACATGTTATTTGTGAGAACATTTCTTTCCTAGGGTGTGTTTTTATTTTCTCCCGTGGACATTGAGAAACCTGGCTGGAATTCCCTCTGCGTGGGGCTACGCTTCACTGAGGTGGAATTTGCTCGGTGGTAATATATACGTGCATAAAATACATGAACACGTGTTATGTTTAGACTGCAAACATCTTAAAGATTTGCATTTTTCCTCAAAGAAAAGCCCCTCTATAGAAATCCCATGAAACAGTTGCCAAAAACGCTGCACAGAATCGTGTTTGAAATTAAAAGAGTACTAGACACGGGGAGGGGGGGGGGGGGCAACACATCTTTTTCAGAAGCCTGCTCAATTCAGATCAAGCAAAGCTTTCAAGGCTCTCTTTTTCTGTTTCCTTTATCACAACCCCTGCTTGTGGATGTTCTCCAATCTTCATTTGTCTCTTTTGTGCACAGCCTTGGTCAGTCTTGTACAAATAATAATCCCTCCCTTTTAACCTGCCTTCATTTCTCTGCAGTGGAAGAGGACTAATTGAATTATCCCCCTTCTCTTCTCACCGTCCAGTCCTCCCACCCATAAACTCTTGCTCGCACACACACCCACATACACACATGCACACCCATTAACCATTCTCCTTTCTTTTAATTTGTTAAGCAAATGTATTTGCCATAGCTGGATGCGTTTGTCCAAGGGTGAATTCTTGGGGACTTTGGCCCCTGAATGGCCTATAGCGGCATTCTGCCATTCACGCATTCATTAACTGAGGGGTGAGGAATGAAAGGAGCGGCCTTGTATTTTCTCAAACTGAGGGGCCAGCATGGAGCTCCTCTTCCATGAGCCGCAGGGGTCTCCCTACATATGTTCTCAACATCCAGCCATTGTCACATCTTCTGAAAAGCTCAAAAGGACAGGACCCCCCCTTTGCACACAAAAAAACAACACGGCCAATAGTAACAACTGTTGGCTTTTAGATTCAGTATAACAAAATTGCCCTCACCCTCTCCCCTCCCACTCTCCAAGGTTTTACTCTGACCTCACACACTCTCTCGGGATAAATCATACGGTTGTTTTCTTCTCGCGTACAGGAAGCAAACAACATGCAACTCGCCTTCGTCACCAATCCTGCCGAAGCAGAATTCCAGCTGAGAGGAAATTACAGTAGTTGCAACATATTGATCCCACAAAAACATTAAAGGACTCTACGGAGAGCCTATGATATCCCTGACCCCTTTTTATATTGAGGCCATATGCACATGTTTCAGACAACACGTGAGCTGGCAATCTGAAATGCCCCACGTGTAATTGGACAACGGTTGGATAGATTAGCTAGTCCTGGCTTGATGAAGAGGGTCAAACTGTCTCTGCTCCCTTCTATCCTAACTCCTGCTCTTTTACCGCTAATGCCTACCCCCCCTCTCCATCTCTCTCCATGTGTTTCTGGATGTCTTCCAGCCACATTAGGGGAAGGGAAATCCCAGACTGTTGGTATAAGCTTTTCAATACTACGGGGAGATTATGTTATCAGAAAGGTAAACTTCACTGTTAGGGGTAAAATGTTCTGCTGCACTTCTAAAGCACAGATCACACTTCAGGACTATGCAGAAAAAAGCAACTACTTGATTGGTAGATAACAGAAAGAGAAAGGGATTTATTTTATCACTAACTTGTATAAAAGGGATGCCCTTTTGTGTTCGGCAAAAGTAAACTTTAAAAATGTACAATTAGCCCCTTGGTGCCCTTGGCCTTTCCTTCCCTCTCACCCCCTGCTAGCCCTCACTCACCCCTGTAAAGACAAGGGTCGGCCTTGCAATGAAAACAGGAAGCACTCTGATACAAAGAAACCAATCTGAGTTCTGGTCTTGTCTTTGGACTAGTGTAAACCATCAAACACCTATGAAAATAAATAATAGACCTCGGGAGCAGGGGAGACTAGTTATAAGGTGTTTTTATGCTTGTGTGAACTGTAAAGAGGGAGGGAAAGGTTGATAGAGGAGAGAGTGGTCAGTCAGAGGAGTATGAAGGTAGCCCTTTAAGCATCAAGCGTCTCAGGTTCTGTGCTGGGCCACCCTTTGGCCCGGGTGTTTGGGGAAATGCTGTTAAGCTGCTAAGCCAGGTGTATTGGTCCCCAGGGCTCCTTGAAAGGGAAGTGATATATCCTTTGGTGGTTTAGAGAGTCTTTGGACTGTGAAGTAGAACTAAAGGCACAGAAGAGAAATGTTTAGGTGTGATTGGGTTGCATTTTAATGCTGTCATTGGCACAATAAGCTGTTCTGTGACACCTATAAGAATATTCATTCATTATCTGCAAACACAAATATCTCTTCCTGCATAACTTTAAGAACACCTGCACAAAAACTGCAAGTGGTGAAATGAGAACCCTCTAATACATGTTTCCACAAAAGTTAGGACCTTTGAAGAGTTGAGGGCATTGTGCCGCAAACATCATTAGATACACTAGTGACAGTGTTCCAGCCCCCCTATACCCACACGCAAACACACACTCCCAACCCAAGCCGAACATAGCATTAGTCTCCATGACAACAGGGTGTCATCGTCAGGTCGAGCCCTCCAGTGGGAGCTGCTCCCTCTGCCACCCTTTATAGAGGCACATAAAAGAGCCAGCAAGGGTCAGTCACAAGACATGGGCACAGGCAAGGCCAAGCCCAGGCAACGGATGCTTGTTCCATAAGATAAACAAATGTACAAGTCTACCCCTGGAAATAAAAAGGAGAGGGCATGTTTGTATGGACTAGTCAGACCTGCAGCATCCCCCCGTTTGGTTCAAGCCCCCCCCGGCCTTTTAATCCCTGTTGTCGTTCCAGGAAAAGCTGCCTTTGAATAGTGGAGACACACATCTGCACATAGTTTGAAGTACCTACTTTTTATATCGAGCTACCCTCAACTAGTTATCTCATAAGCTTTGGTATTCATGTTTTGTTGTTTACACTAAATAACATCAGTTTTTAAATATTTAAACTCATTTTTGTGTGTTTTTTGAAAAGAAATTATGACGGTTTCTTAAGAACTTACTCTCATCTGCTTCGCAGTGATTGAGAGTCAGTTTGCTTTTCCACCTTCTTAGGTTGTTTTGAGTTTGGATGAGAGTGCGGAGACAAAGAAGAGGCAGGGAGTGGGTGTAGGGATAAGATCAGGGCATGGGAGAGGGGGGGCTAAAAAGGGGCTCCTAAGGGTCACAAAGGTGGGAGCCTGGAGGAGGCCCACACACTAATCTGTCATGTGCTTGTTTGACTCAGGAGCCCAAAAGTCAGTTCTCCAGTCACCCGTAGCAACCCAGGCGATGGTTTGGTTCACTGCCACCGTCCAAATGTGTGACTAACAGCAGAGGATGTAGGGAAAAAGAGTCATCACGTTGCTTTTGTCACAACACCGGCCACTTTGTGAGTGTTTGCAAAACAGATAATAGTGACACTATAACATAGTTTGGCGATGTTTATCGCTGTGAAAGTCAGGGGTAATGAGAGCGCTGGAGACCACTGAGGGAGTTGAGGTTTAGTGCGTGGCTATTGTCTAGTCACTGTGCTCTAACGTTGGCTGCTCAGTGACCCTGGAAAACGGTGACACAAGCCACCTCTGTCTGCCATCTGTTCCTCCCTCGTCAGCCCACATCCCAAAATCCGGGAACGA